AAAATTGTAAATTTGGTAATTTCATTTTGAAGGATGTTGAGTTATCTTTATCGGTTTGATTAGTTCCCCCGATCTTTACTTCTTATCTTGATGCAGAGTCCAGAAAGTGAGAAAAATAAAGACGCTATCACATTACATCTATAATCGATTTTTCCATTACATATAAATATTTCATAGTAAAGATAATCGAACACTGACCATAAAAGTAATGGATATAATCCACTTTAAGAAATAATTAAGCAGCAGATATCTATAAAATTTACGAAATAATTTATAATTTTTCTATGTTTATAATTCATTTTATCAAAAAATAGAGACAATTACATAATGATTGTTGTAAAGGGCCTATTTAATGCTGACTCCATAAACTACAAATTTATTTAGATAAAAGTAGACTTAAAAGTATAGTCTGCAGATATTTTTGAAATACTTATTAAAAAAAGTTGTGATATTAAGAAAGAGAATGTCGACAGATGTATGACGTATTACGTAATGATAACAGTAATGACAGGTACTGTAACAATGTAAAATAATGATCATATAACTATTGGCAACATGTTCGAAGAAGGAAAAAGTTATTGACGAACATAGCTCACATAAAAGGAAATAGAATCTTTGAAAGTTTGATCACTCAATATTGATGGATGGTAATTGAATCCTTAATAATCTATATTTTTTCTAGGATTCTTCTTTATCTTAATGCATAGTCGAGAGAGAGAGAGAGAGAGAGAGAGAGAGAGAGAGAGAGAGAGAGAGAGAGAGAGAGAGAGAGAGAGAGAGAGAGAGAGAGAGAGAAAGAGAGAGAGAGAGAAAGAGAGAGAGAGGGAAGGGGGGGGGTGGAGGGAGACTGAAAGAAGCAATGAGATAAGAAAAATTACCCTTCTTATTTCAAGCTATATTAATATGGGTAATAATATTAAGTTATAAATATAAAGATATCAGTAATGAAGTTTACAATGGCAACATGTTAGAAGTAAAAACAACAAAAAATCGCTTGTTATTAACGAAGAACGCACACAAAATATGAATTAGCTCAGTAAATTTGCTAACATAATTTTGAAAGATGTTGATTGAATCCTTACCGGTAAAAAAATTGCCGGATTTTTTTTTTCGTATCTTTAGTCGAGAAAGTAAGAAAGAAAAAGACGTTTTGTGCTTTACCAATGCATATTACTATCTTATATTATGGAAAATCAAATACTGATCACAGTAATAATGAAGATGACCCAGTGGGGAA